GGCCGAGGCGGGCAGATCACAAGGTCAGGAGTTCGAGACCATCCTGGGCAACACGGTGAAACCCCCGTCTCTACTAAAATACAAAAAGTTAGCCAGGGGTGGTGGCGGGTGCCTGTAATCCCAGCTACTTGGGAGGCTGAGGCAGGAGAATTGCTTGAACTGGGGAGGTGGAAGTTGCAGTAAGCCAAGATCGCACCACTACACTCCAGCCTGGCGACAGAGCAAGACTCAGTCTCAAAAAAAAAAAAAAAAAAAAAAAAAAACACAAAAAAAAAAAAAAAAAAAAAAAAAATAGGAGGGGACCCTGTGATGGCTTTGGGACCAGAAACCAATTCCACTGTACCCTCCCACACCCCAGAATCAGAGTGAGGCTCGGGGAGTGGGGGTTAATCCCCTAACAGACTCCCTAGGCTGGCTCCAAGCCTCCTACCAGCCTGGAGCAGGAGCACTTCCCTGACAAGAAGGCAGGGTGGGAGAGGGGGAGAGCAGTGTGAGGTTGAACTCCCTAAAAGCAGTAAGTCTTCTTCAGAATTCCCTGCAGGAGGCTGGAAAGGGGCTTGGGTCCCCAAGGAGAGTTGTGGGTTTCCATCCAGGAAAGGCACATGGTAGGCACTTTGTAAGTATTTCTTGAATGTGGTTGAATGAATCACATCCTTTTTTAAAATATCTGTCTTGAGAGGTGGTCTAGGCCGGGCGCAGCAGCTCACGTCTGTAATCCCAGAACTTTGGGAGGCCAAGGAGGGTGGATTACCCGAGGTCAGGAGTTCAAGACCAGCCTGGCCAACATGGTGAAACCCCGTTGCTACTAAAAATACAAAAATTAACCAGGCGCAGTGGCAGGTGCCTGTAATCCCAGCTACTCGGGAGGCTGAGACTGGAGAACTGCTTGAACCCAGGAGGCAGAGGCTGCAGTGAGCGGAGGTCACGACATTGCGCTCCAGCCTGGGCAATAAGAGCAAAACTCTGACTCAAAAAAAAAAAAAAAAAAAACCAAACAAAAAAAAACAGAGTTGTGAAGATACAGCTGACCTCCCAAACAAGCCGGGCAAAGAAAGCCTCAGGCTGCCCAGCATTGGGCGAATGGGCGGGGGGCTCCTCTGGGTCCTGGGTTTTGATGGTCTCTTCCTTACTGTGCTGGGTTTACATTCTAGCTCTCTTCATACTGGCCAGGTGCCCTCGGCCAATGCTTTCTCCCCATCTTTATCCAGAACAGGCTGGGGCTGGACCAGGCACAGGCTGTGGGACCTTTCTTGCCTGACTACAGTAGTTTTCTCTGAATCCAGAGGTTTGGCTGTATCTGAAGCTAAACCAAGCAGGAGCGGCCTAGAGCAAAGCTCTCAGCTCCAGGAAGTCCCCACCCAGCTCAGGCAGTTCTTGGATTGAGCAGCCAGCAGGCTAATTTGCATGGTGCTAAGTGGTTACTCAACTTCCTATGCTGTGTGGGAGCCCTTGCTACCCTATCCGTCCCTCCCCAACTCTGCTCCTGAAGTCTTACCAGCCACACAAATCAAGTCAGAAACACACATGCAAACAATCCTAAGACATCATTAAAGCACTAGTTAGAGTCATCCAAAGAAAACAAAAACCAAAAACACATAAAATTCAATGCTGGCAGAGCTGTGGAGAAATTATTTGTTGCCAATTGGATTAATTCTTCTGAAGGGCACTCAATTCAACAAGTGGGTGGGAACAAATAAATATCAATAGAACAGAATTAACAGGAACTTGAAAATAAGCATTCTTTGGTCACATACATCCATTTTGGTATTAAGAAAAGAGCAACACTTTTTTTTTTGAGACAGAGTCTCATTTTGTTGCCCAGGCTGCAGTGTCGTGGCGCAGTCTTGGCTCACTGCAACCTCCACCTCCCAGGTTCAAGCCATTCTCCTGCCTCAGCCTCCCAAGTAGCTGGAACTACAGGCGCACACCACCACGCATGGTTAACTTTTGTATTTTTTAGTAGAGACGGGATTTCACCATATTGGCCAGGCTGGTCTTGAACTCCTGACCTCGTGATCCACCCGCCCTGGCCTCTCAAAATGCTGGGATTACAGGCATAAGCTGCTGAGCCGGGCCCATTTTTCTTTTTTAAAAGCAAACATGGGCTAGGTGCCAGGGCTCACGTCTGTAATCCCAGCATTTTGGGAGGCCGAGGTGGGTGGATCACTTGAGTCCAGGAGTTCTGAAACCAGCCTGGGAAACATGGCAAAACCCTACGTCTACAAAAACTACCGAAAAGAAAAAAAAAATTAGCGGGGCGTGGTTCTGCACGCCTGTAGTTTTGGCTATCTGAGGGGCTTGAGGCTGGAGGATTGCTTGAGCTGGGAAGGCGGGGACTGCAGTGAGCCGAGATCTCATCACTGTACTCCCAGCCTGGGTGACTGACAGAGAGAAACCCCATCTCAAAAAATAAAGCAAACATGTTCATAATAGCCTTCTGTATAATGGTGACACTGTGGAAAAACCCAGGTGACAATATGGAAAGAGTAAATTGCAACATTAACAAGTTGGGATGTTATATAATTATTAATACCAGAAAAGACCTATCCACCACTGGGTGCAGTGGCTCATGCCTGTAATCCCAGCACTTTGGGAGGCTGATGCTGGTGGATCACCTGAGGTCAGGAGTTCAAGACCAGCCTGATCAATATGGCGAAACCCCCTCTCTACTAAAAATACAAAAATTAGCTGGGCACGGTGGTGGGTGCCTGTAATCCCAGCTACTTGGGAGACTGAGGCAGGAGAATCACTTGAACTCCAGAGGCAGTGGTTGCAGTGAGCTGAGATCACACCACTGCACTCCAGACTGGGCAACAAGAGTGAAACTCTACCATCTAAAAAAAAACCAAAAAACAAAAAACAACAACAACAAAAAAAAATGACTTATCAAATCAGATGTGAAGGCTCATGCCTGTAACCCCAGCAATTCGGGAGGCCGAGGAAGGAAGATAGCTTCAGGCTAGGAGTTTGAGGCCAGCCTGGACAACACAGCAAAACCCCATCTCTACTAAACATTTAAAAATGAGCTTGGCAAGGACGCACATGCCTGTAATCCCAGCTGCTCAGGAGGATCCCTTGAGCCCAGGAGTTTAAGGCTGCAGTGAGCTATCATTGAGCCATGGCACTGCAGGCTGGGCAACACAGTGAGACCCTGACTCCAGAAAAAAAGAAAAAGACCTCTCAATGGATTATGTACAGACATATGTAAGAAATTAACTTTGCTGGCATTTGTCAGTGCCTTGATTTTACGCAGAACTTTCACGATTCTCTTTTACCCTCTGAAGCAAGCCCGAGACATTTTTTGTTTGCTTGCTTTTTACCTTCAGTTTGTACAGGAGGAAACTCAGGCTCAGAAAAAAGCAATGAATTGCTCAAAGTCACCCGGCTCCTACTAAAGGACACTGCTTGGGACTCTGGCCCCAAATCTTGGAGGCCAGGAAGTTGGGTTCACCTGGGAGGACACTATGATCATGGTGAGCAGGACTTAAAATAGCAGCAAGCACACGTTCACACTGTCAGCGCCTGACACACTGCCAAGTGTCTGGCAGTATTGCCTTTCAGACTCACAATCCTTAAGGTTCCCATCTTCCAGGTTAGGAAAGTTGAGGCTGGCAGGGGTTGCGTGACTTGCCAACATTACTGGCCAGTGAAGGGAGAAGCTGGCACTCTTACCTAAGGTTCGTAAGATTTTTTAATTTATTTAGAGACAGAGTCTCGCTCTGTTGCCCAGGCTGGAGTGCAGTGGTGCAATCTCAGCTCAAGGCAACCTCCACCTCCCGGCTTCAAGGGATTCTTCTACCTCAGCCTCCCAAGTAGATGGGATCACAGGCATGTGCCACATACCTAGCTAACTTTGGTATTTTTAGTAGAGACGGGTTTTCACCATGTTGGCCAGGCCGGTCTCAAACTCCTGACCTCAAGTGATCTGTCCGCCTTCACCTCCCAAAGTGCTGGGATTACTGGCGTGAGCCACCGCGCCCAGCTACATTTTATTTATTTATTTTAATAGAGAAGGGTCTCCAAATGCTGTCCAGGCTGTTCTCCAACTCCTGGCCTCAAGTGATCCTCCCGCCTGGGCCTCCCCAAAATGATGAGATTCCCGGTGTAAGCGACCGCGCCCAGCCAGGATGGGTGGTGGCAGTCCCCGGGCTGCACTGGCAGAGGAGGAAGGGGGAGGTCTGATTCCCCAGGGCTTGAGCTCCTGATCCCTTCATTGCCCGCGGGTGCAGCCCGGCCCCGCCCAGCCCAGGGCGGCCTGGCTGCTCTCCCTGTGCCTCCGGAAAGGGAGGGGCCGCTCGGATCCGCGTCGGCCGAGAAGCCCCGCAGCTCTGAGGGGTTCGTTCTGGGATCTCTGAGGGGTGCGTTCAGGGATCTCACCGGTTAGGCCCGCCCCGTATGGGACTCCTCAGACCTGGCCCGGGGAGGTGGGTGTAGGCAACAGCAGCGGCCAGGAGGGCAGGGGCGGGGCACCCGGGGGCGCCAGCTCATTTCCCGGCGGCTGCAACCCGGAAGGCTCCGGGGATGCAGGGGAAGTAACTGGGCGTGGGGCCCCGCCGTCCCGAAGTAACGGGGCCACACCGACCGACCTCGGGGCAAGGACGGGGATGCGGGCCGGGAGGCGGGAGCGGAAGGCATGGAACAGACGCTCTGGCTGGGGACGCCCCGAGGGCGCCCGGTGTGCGGGGAGCCCGCGTTATCCCCGCCCGGCAATGGGGTCACCCCTGCGCGCCCCTGCTCCCAGGGCTTTTTCCTCCCCGCGAGGCCCCCATCCCCGCGCCGCCTTCTCTCCGTGCGCCCCCACTCACCCCCGCACCCCTACTGGGCGGTGCCCCACATCCGTACTTCCCGCTCACTTCCAGGCGCCCCCCGCCCCCCCTCCTTTCACCCCCTCTCGCCCCTCCCGTTCCCCTCACTCCCAGGCGGCGCCCCACATCCCCGCGTCCCCCCACCTCCGGACTGCTGCCCCGGCCCCCTCCTCCATGCGCCCCCGCGGCCCTCACCTCCCGCGCCACGGCCGCGGACTCTGGGCAGTCGACGCGCCGAACCGGCTCTGGGCCCCGCGCTGCAGCCGCAGCCACTTCCTCGTGGGCGGGGGGCGGGGCCTCCCGACCTCAGCCCCATAGGGCCTGGGGGCGGGAACCAGGGGCAGCGGTCGCGAGATCCAGGTCCCGCCCTCCCTTCGGGGCGTGGGGGCTGCCGGGACCCGTGCGGACGTCGGAGCTCAAGGTTCTGTCCGCAGAAGCCGTCAACAACTGCCCGTCAACGCTTTATCAATGGGGAAACTGAGGCTGGGAGCGAGGCGCGCCGCCTGAGCCGCCGCTGGGCGGGATCTCCGAGCCCGTGCCGGGCGCACGGTCCCCGGGGGCTGCTGGGCGCGGGATATGGGAGTCTTGTCCTCTGGGCCCGGACGGCGGGGACTGCGGGCTCTGCACGCAGGTGACCAAGCAGCTAGCGAGCCCTGCAGTCCGGTCCCCAGACTGCAAGGAGCCCCCTTCGCGCTGACGCCCGCGGGGCGCCAACTGTGCAGTCCCTGGGCGGGCGGGGCGTGGCGTGGCCAAAGCAGCCGGGCCCCGCCTCCTCGTCCCTTCGAGTCCTCGCCACAAAACTCGGGTGCTGCCCCGGCCATGGGTGACACTGGCTGCGCCTGCTGACGCTGGCCGGCCAGCTGACTTCGTTCCCTTCTGTTTCTTTTCCTTTTTTGAGACGGATTATCGCTGTCACCAGGCTGGAGTGCAGTGGCACGATGTCGGCTCGCCGCAACCTCCGCCTCCTGGGTTCAAGCGATTCTCCTGCCTCAGCCTCCTATGTAGCTGGGATTATAGGCATCCGCCACCACGCCCGGCCTTTTTTTGTTTTTTTAGTAGAGACCGGGGTTTCACCATGTTGGCCAGGCCAGTCTCGAACTCCTGACCTCGTGATCCACCACCTCAGCTTCCCAAAGTGCTGTGATTACAGGCTTGAGCCACTGCGCCCGGCCTTTTCCCTTGTGTTCCACCGCAGTCGACTTCACTTCTTTGTTACCCAGTTAGCCTTGCAGCCACCTGATTGCCGGTCTTGGGCCAGGTGGTCCCTGGAGTCTTCCCATCCTGACTCTGCCTCTTCAGTGGAGATGTGGCCAGGCAGCCAAGCAGATGGAAGAGACTCCGATGAAAACCTTCCCTTGGCAGGGCACAGTGGCCCACCCCTGTAATCGCAGCACTTTGGGAGGTCATGGTGGGTGGATCATGAGGTTAGGAGTTCCAGACCAGCCTGGCCAATATGGTGAAACCCCATCTCTACTAAAAAATACAAAAATTAGGCCTCAGTGGCTCACGCCTGTAATCCCAGCACTTTGGGAAGCCAAGGCAGGCAGATCCCGAGGTCAGGAGTTCAAGACCATCCTGGCCAAATGGTGAAACCCTGTCTCTACTAAAAATACAAAAATTAGCCAGCCATGGTGGCGCATTCCTGTAATCCCAGTTACTCAGGAGGCTGAGGCAGGAGAATCACTTGAACCTGGGAGGCGGAGGTTGCAGAGCTGAGATATCGCCACTGCTCTCCAGTCTGGGCAACAGCAGCAAAACTCCATCTCAAAAAAAAAAAAAAAAAAGAAAAGAAATTTAGCCGGGCATGATGGTGAGCTACTGTGTAATGCCAGCTACTTGTGAGGCTGACATACGAGAATTGCTTGAACCTGGAGGACGGAGGCTGCAGTGAGCCAAGATGGGGCCACTGCATTCCAGTCTGAGCAGAGTGAGACTCTCAAAAACAAACAAAACCTTCCCTCCTCTCGCCTCTTTCAGACCCCTCTCCTTGGTATTTGTGCAGGGTCTTCCTGGATCTCAGGAGGTCCCAGGCCATATTCCCACCCCATCAGGTTTAGAGGCTTTCACGCATGCTGTTCCTTCTGCCTGGAGCACTTTTCCCACCCTGTCTTCACCTGCTGACGTTGGTTTGTCCTGCGGGATGTGGCTGGGGATCTTAGGTGGCTTTGCCCAACCGTCTCCCCATAGGAGGTACCCTTAGTTGCCACTCTCTTTTCCACTGAGTTTGACCCCCTGGGGTGGCTGGGAGGATTAAATGTGTCCAAGTGTGTGGAGCGGATCACACAATGTGCATACAGGAAGTGCTTGAACTTTTGTGAGCCCCCCAATCTTGCTGCTCCTGCAGATTTGCTCAGAGATGTTGGCAGCCAGCAAATTCAGGTGGTGGATTTAGTTCAAGCAGATAAAAAACTTCAAGGGGTCTGTATCAGCAGCAGTCTTCCCACAGGGACAAGCGTAGGGTAACTGAGGGGACCCTGTTGCTGCTGCCCTGGCTTCCGTCCTACTCCACCGCTTTGTAGATGCCCAGGGAATGACCCCAAGTGGCCCTGAGTGGTCTAAATCAGCTCACAGTGTTCCCTGTCCTGGACTTGTGACCTAAGATGACCAATCAAAGCAAAGCCCAGCTGATAATCCAGCACTCGAAGCCTCCTCTGGGCGAGCTGAAGGAATCTGGACTCAGAAGTAAAACACCAAAGTGGAACAGCAGCAAAGGAAGCTAAGGCAGGGTGAATGCATAGCAGAGAGAAGGCCAGAGAAGTGACTGGGGCTCTGGTCCCCTCTGACTGGCCAGCCTGAGCCCAACCTGCCACCAAAGATTCAGATATGTGAGCCAAGTTATCCGCTTAATTAATTCATTAATATATTTTAGAGACAGGGTCTGGCTCTGTTGCCCAGGCTGTAGTGCAGTGACACCGTCACAGGTCACTGCAGCCTCCAACTCCTGGGCTGAAGCAATCCTCTCACCTTAGCCTCTCAAGTGCTTGGGACTACAGGTGTGCACCACCATGCCTGGCTTTTTAAAATTTTTATAGGTTGGGTTCGGTGGCTCATGCCTGTAATCCCAACACTTTGAGATGCCAAGGCAGGTAGATCATTTGAGGTCCGAAGCTTGAGACCAGCCTGACCAACATGGTGAAACCCCGTCTCCACTAAAATACAAAATTAGCTAGGTATGGTGGTGCGCACCTGTGATCTGAGCTACTCAAGAGGCTGAGGCAGGAGAATCACTTGAACCTAGGAGGCAGAGGTTGCAGTGAGCCAAGATCGCACCACTGCAGTTCAGCCTGGACAACAGAACGAGACTCCCTCTTACAAAAAAAAAATTTATTGGGACAGCATTTTTGCTACATTGCCCATATTGGTATCAAACTCCTGGCCTCAAGTGATTCTCCCACCTCAGCCTCTCATAGCTGGGAGGGACCACAGACGTGCACCACCACACTGAGCTAATTTTTAAAATTTTGTATGGACAGGGCTTTCTCTATGTGGCCCAGGCTGGTCTCGAACTCCTGGACTCAAGCAATCCTCCTGCCTCAGCCTCCCAAAGTGCTGAGATTACAGGCGTGAGCTACAGTGTGTGGCCTCTATTTTTAGGCTGCTTTGAGTTTTTCTGCTGCCAGTCATCAAAGCATGCTAACAAATATGCATACCTTGAGACTCCTTTTTCCTAACTGTGAAAATGCAACTAAGGTCACCTGAGTTGATGTAAAGGCTCTAGAAACCCATGAGAACAGCAGCCATAGCTGTACTGTTCTCTCTGCTCTCCCCTGGGCCCATGGCAGAGCCCGGTGCATGAGTCACTCAACACACATCTGTTACATGAATAATCAACTGGTGTTAGAAAACTGAGTCCAGGCTGGGCGCAGTGGCTCACGCCTGTATTCCCAGCACTTTGGGAGGCCGAAGCAGGCTGATCACATAAGTCAGGAGTTCAAGACCAGCCTGGCCAACATAGTGAAAACCTGTCTCTAATTAAAAAAACAAACAAACAAAAATACACAAAAATTAGTCAAGTGTGGTGGCATGCGCCTGTAGTCCCAACTACTTGGGAGGCTGAGGCAGGAGAATTGCTTGAACACACGAGGTAAAGGTTACAGTGAGCCGATTACAGAACAAGACTCTGTCTCAAAAAAA